GCCTTATAAGGGTCGATATCTGTAGACTGGAAAATCGACCAGCTAGTGGTTGAGATGTCATTTACACGGGTCGATTTTGGTTGAACCACAAAAATCTACTAGAAAATCGACCCGTGTAAAGGCGCCTTAATCCAGCGAGCAATTATCATTAAAGTTAAAATGCCTTGGTTAAAATTAATAAAAAGTTATTTCATTCTTTCTTTACCGGGACAATTGTTACATCGGTGGGCAACGACGCAATTACAGAACTTTAGACAGAGCAATATTTTTCGATCGGGTTCAAATCGGGCGATTGTGAGGGCCTAGCTCACCAATGTAACAATCGTGTCGATAAAAAGGTAAAATATAACTTTTAGTTTGCTATGAAAATCCCCACCTCCTTTCTATTTGAAGAGTAAATTTGTTGATGCAACAAAACGAAGCAGATTTCAGTTGAGCGAAGTAGAGGACTAGGTTTCAAATTTTTTCGACAAAACGGAACAAATCGACTCTTATCGGAGCGAAGTCCGAACGATGGCTTATTGTGTATATGAGCAAAATGTATGCTCTTTGTTTGGTACATAAAGTCAGTATTACCGCAGCCGTACTGCGATGAACATGATGTCGGTGGGATATAAATAATTTTTTTGCAACTTTTCATACCCTTTCTCCCGTAAACTGTTTTTCCCTTTCTCCAGCCCGCGATCGCACTTTCGCTACTGCGCGGGTAAAAAAGTGCCCATGTCTGCTCTTAGCGAACGAATTCAACCGTTCAGTTTCTCCCCTTTGTCGCTTATCATATCGATGCACGATTGAGAGAAATATAGATTGCGCCAATCGCGGTACCGCTAATCCGCTCTTTGTGATTCTGACAGAATCAGCTGTGTGCGTGACGTCATCTTGGTACAATTGTTCATTGTGAGCATACGAGAAAACCAAATAACAATTTTAATATATGTGTGTTAATATTTCTGCGTGGTTTTAAACAATTATTGAGTCATTACAAAGCAAAATGAAGTGTTCCGTGGCAAAGTGTAATAGTAAAAACAAAAGGAAAGCGTGCGATATAAGTTTTTTTTCGTTTCCTACGGACGCAAATCTGGCGAAAAAGTGAAAGCAGTTCTGCCGGCGAGGATATGCATTAAACACCAAATCGAGCTATGTGTGCATGAAGCACTTTACTAGTGAAGATATTGAAATTAATATTTTTACTGCTGGTATGAGGTAATCCACCAGTGGATAAGGTCGCCAGGCGCTAATTCACGCGGGTTCTTACCGCGCTGTTACATACCTAATACAAAACAGTGGCCAAATTATTTTACATTTAAAAGTTCAGCTTGAATTATGCTTTACTTACATAGAATATTTGTTTCCAAAGAAGCCACACTCATGCATTCTCTCGGAAGTGGTACAAAAGTCATCAAATAAAAGCTGTGGAGTCAACAGCTGTGGAATCTATGGTGGTTGGCTCCCGTCCACAAATATAAATATGCACTCAGCATGGCTTTTTACAATAGCGAGCCCAAAAATTCACTTTGCTGCACACCTTCCTTTTGGTCTACATGAAATTGCAAACACTGTTAATACATCCATTTTTTCATGTGCTAAAATTCGCACTTACCTAAAGGGCTACATGTCCAAAGTTATTGCTACGTGTTTCTAATTAATCAATCTTTGTATATTTATTGATTCCTGCAAAATTGGGCCATGCAATATTAAAATTAACACATTTTTCTGCATTGTTCACATATTTTTATATGCGTTTTGGCATTTCTCTCTCGCAATTGCATCAAGATGACGTCACGCAAAAATTACGCTCAAAAATCATCTCTCATTGGCGCAATCTTGTATTATATCATTCTTGATATCGATGCCCTATCAGCAAACGACTCACGCTGAGCTTTATTTGTCGCGAGGCAAAGCTCTCGGTGGTGATGCTGCCAGACTGTTTGCAACATTTAAACTTATGTCGTTTTCTTTTTTTCAATGGAATGACCCTAAATAAATTAATGTGCTCGAGACAGTGACTCTACTTTGAAATTAAAATTTTAAAATTAAATAAAATGCCTTGTTTCTGTGGTCTAAAAGTTGACCGTAACAATAAAGCCAAAGTTCAATGTGGTAAATGCAATAAACTTTTCTATGTTAAGTGTGCCAGTATTTCTCCTGCTGACTTTGATTATTTAATCAGCTCAGCAGTTTTTTCTGCAAAAATTGTGCGGCCGTTCATCGAAGGGGTATCCCATATAACTTCACCCTAAAGTCACTTCGTTTCTCCCTCAAAAACCCTAAATATACATACATATATACTAGTTTGTAGATGTCCAAGGTTGGTAGATACTAGTAACTCGGGTACCTAGCAGTGTTGAAAGTTAATCAATTAAATTATTCATTTGTCATGTTTGTCCGATCAGTTTGATTTGGATAAGTTTGATTGAATTGTAATATTTGTTAGGCTTTTCTGATCTAACCTTTGGGTAAATAAAAATACTTTATTTTGCTTTTTCCCGACGTTTCACTAAGATTTTTAGCATCTTCAGGGGATAGTTTTGTTTCTGTCGTTGTTTGGTTAATGTTTTATATTTTTTGCTGTGCAGGTTAATAAACAAAACTATCATTTTAAAAACATTTAAAAAAACAAAAATGTTCCTCCAAGGCCACGCAATCAACGTCATCATAAGAGACACAGATAAGGGGGATAAAACAGTGGCAATGTACAATACAGAATACCTAGAAAAAATGAACAGCCTATTATAAGACAAGAATACGTACAACACAATAAGAGTAGACCTCACAAATACTTTGCAAAGAAAAAATAAGAACTTAGTGGATGACCTATGCAAATGCAAATACATAAACGCAAAAGCAAAGCAACGTCTTAAAAGTATTGCAGCAACGGCTCCAAGACTTTATGGGTTGCCAAAGATCCATAAGCCTGAAATCCCTATACGTCCAATTGCCTCGTCCTGTAAAGTCCCATGTTTCAATTTGACAAAGAATGTTGGAGAAATTCTAAAGCTACTTATCTCTGAAGACTGCAATATAAAAACTCTTTCAAATTTAAAAACAAACTGTCTGATATAAATGTGTGTGAAGATGTACCTATTTCGTTTGATGTGGTCTCTTTGCTTACGAATATACCAACAGTTTTAGCTTCAAAAATAATAATGAAAAATAGAAAATATGACAAAGATTAAAAAATTCCAAAATATTAACTTTTGTCTTGAAATCTGCGGAATTTAGATTTTTCTGTATCAGCTGATTTCTTCCTTCTATAGATCAGTGCCCGCCAAAAAGAGAAAAGTCTTAAAATGAGAATGTATTAGTTATGAAACAAAAAATGAGAATGTGTTGGTGGTAAAGCACGGAAAAAAGTTTCTGTGTGGTATTACTTATTATAAAAACTTTGGTATGTTTTTTTGCCTTTTTTTTCATTGTGCGCTATATTTTAGATCTAAACAACANAGAAAGGAAAAAGTTGGTAAAATTTTGTATGTATTGTACAAAATTATTATTATTTTTTTATAATTTAAGTGTGGATTTCTGAGCAAAAAAGATAACGTGCTTCGAGCACTCTGAATATTAAAAGAAAATTTCGTTGATTTCAAGTAGAAATAAAATAAAAATATATAAATCTAATATATATTTATTTTAAAATTAGGTAAAACTTGACATTTAAGAACCATTTTAAATAACGATTAAACCAAAAAATAAATAACAAAACATATCGTATGTTTTAATTGAGGACTAGTCTGGTATTAAAAAAAATACATAATTCACAAAGTTCTTTTAATATGAAGAAAAAGCACGACTTGGTACCATATACATACCTATTTCTAGGGGTGTATGTACGAAAAATTGTGTTATAAATTTTTTGAATGAATATTCATTCATTCTGCTCACTGTACCTACTTTATTCAACAATAATGCGCCATCAACCTGCTTCGCCTGTTGTTTGCATGCAACTAAATAAAATTTGTTGCTCTTCTACTCTTTCTGTTGACGTTCGGATTGTGTACGTGTAAGAAGGCGATTGTGTACATGTGAAAGGCCGAATATAGTTCGTTTCCCAGGAAAGTGTTTGGCGGGCACTGCTATAGATGGTTGCCACTTCGTCAGTTTTGCAGATGGTAAAAAAGTTATAAGTTCCTATTCAAAATAGGTTTAAAATATTTGAAATTTACTATTGAATAAGGTTTTTTGTTGAAAACTAACTAGTTTATATTTAGCTACAATCTATTATAGCATGAAAAATTGTAGTTGAGAAGGTAAGTCAATGAAACGGTATTAATGAATGGCAACACTGAGCCCTAAGTAACACTGAGCGCTGCAGTAATCGACAAAATTCTGCGTTAACAGACTGCGTTTAAGTATACGTTCTGCGTTCTTGACTAATTTCAGATTTAATAAAACAAACAACTACAGAAATAAACAGCCGCCAAAATAGAACATCATGTAAAGAAACAACAAACACCACAAATCGATACTTCAGCGTTACCTACATTCCAAGGTTGTCCGAAAACTTTAATCAACACATTGCTAAACAACAAAACATAACGCAAGCATACAAATCCAATTGCACTTTGTCCACAGTGTTTACAAAAACAAAAACCCCTATAGAAACCAAGCAGCGAAAAATTGTGGTGTATGAAATAAAGTGCAATGGTAAAGAAACTGAAAAGTGCGACAAAGTGCATCATTTTTTGTGGTAGCCAAATTCCTTTAAAAAAGGGCTAAAAAAGAGCTAAAAGAAGTCGTTGTGGCTAAAAATGGTAGCTAAAATTTTTTACTTACATATACATATATAAGTATACACGTAAACATAAGTAATGGAATAGAAAAACATTGAACTCTGGAATAAAGCTAATATTTTATCCAACCAAATACCTATTTGTATAAAATGGGAAATTTACGACACCAGCTTGCTGGCTCCATCAAGTGATTGTACCATCAGGCTCGAAGCATATAACTTACCACCATGCTGTTACAATATTTATTTCTTTACGAATGAGGTTCAGGAAAGATCGAAATGATTAGAGCCGAAATTTCATAATTTTAACCGTAAACCTATCTATTTTAAACTATAGTTAAATCGTTAATAAATAAGTAAACAGCCCTAAGACTTTTACAGTATGTATGTATAAAAACGATAGGAACATCTAATATGTATATATATACATATATCAGTCTGTCTTTAGAAGAGAAAAGAACAAAAAGGCTCACATTAGAAAGTTTACGAATAATGCAGAAAAGGGACCGACCAATGAACAAAAAAGAGGATACTGATGACATCGCTGTAGCTTAAATATTATGTTTATGAAAATTGTTTAACATTCAGTTTAGACGAAGCTACCACAAGTGCTGGTAGTGAATTTTATTTTTAAGTTCCATAATTAAATGTTAAATGTTAGTAAAAAAGTTTCAGTTGTAAAACTGAATCATTTATTTCTAAATTATTCATACTATTTCGTTTCTGTCGTTGTTTGGTTAATGTTTTGTATTTATTGCTGTGCAGGCTAATAAACAAAACTATCCCCTGAAGATGTTAAAAATCTTAGCAAAATAAAGTATTTTTATTTTCACAACGGTTAGATTAGAAAAGCCTAACAAATATTACAATTGCAATTATTTATTCAATCAACTTGTGAATTGATTAAAAAGGTAATTGCAAATTGCAATTAAATTAATTACATTTAAATACAATTTATTTAATTGCAACTACTTTTTTAAGTCTTCTATGAAAAAATTAAAAATATATATATTAACGAAATTATACGAAAATATACTAAAATTGTGGGTCTGCGCACTTATCTGGTTATCAGGTTATCTGGTTATCAGGTTATCTGGTTATCAGGTTATCTGGTTATGTGGTTATTTTTTGATTCAGTTTACAAGAATAAAACACACTATAGAAGACTAATTTTTCACCAGTTAACCAGGCAAGTGTAAACACCCACAGTATTAAAAGATTTAGAAAATTCTACGTACATTAATAAAAAGGGAAAGATTTATTAAATTATTATAAGAAACTATAACCTGTTGATTCTTCTTAGAACAATTTGTTGAGTAGGAGAATTATTTCTGGGCTATTTTGGGCACCCGCGGGATCCCGCGTTGCGTACGGGAAAGAAACTATTCTAGGTTTTTAATTCCTGCAATCGACAAACATATGAAAATATTAATCAGAAGCTAAAATAAGGAACAATTAATTGAACCTCTGCAATTTTGTAAATCATTTTCGTTTCTTCTAGTTTTCTTTTCGCAAGAAATTCGTCTGAAGATATCAGCCGTTTCGGGAATGAGGATGAACTAAATAAACTAGTTCATTCAACTGATCTGAACTAGGGATGTTGCGAATGTGGAATTTTAGATATCCGCGGATGCGGATGTTTAAAACAAACATCCGCGGATGTGGATGCGAATGCGGGTGTCAAATATTTTTAAGAAATAATTTAGGTGAGTAAATTAGGTGATTTAGGTAAATAATTTATAATAAATAATAATGGAAAAGTTAGTAATTTTTAGGATTTTTTTTATTTAGAACTTGAATTTAAAAATTGGAACATTGTATTCAATAAAAGTAATGTTGTTGCCTCTTCGGGTTACAGCCTGTTTCTTAAAGGGTCGTAAATCAAAACTACTCGCTCGAGGCGACAAACTTGAAAAACTTGAAACAAAATTGTAAATTCTTTTCGATTAACGCTGCACCAGTTGAGAGGACTTTCAGTTATATTTATTTAATTTTTTTTTTTTTTTTATCGCGGTGCAATAAATAATTCCTTTTTGAGAATTGCATCGGGCTGCAAATGTAGGACGTATCCTCCTGATTTTCATCTTCACAAACTAGCATTATGACAAGATCGTTGTTTAAACACCGTTGTTTTCCAAAGAATTCTTCATTCGCATTCTTTTTGGTGGTTTCAGAATTTGGNATTAATTGAACCTCTGCAATTTTGTAAATCATTTTCGTTTCTTCTAGTTTTCTTTTCGCAAGAAATTCGTCTGAAGATATCAGCCGTTTCGGGAATGAGGATGAACTAAATAAACTAGTTCATTCAACTGATCTGAACTAGGGATGTTGCGAATGTGGAATTTTAGATATCCGCGGATGCGGATGTTTAAAACAAACATCCGCGGATGTGGATGCGAATGCGGGTGTCAAATATTTTTAAGAAATAATTTAGGTGAGTAAATTAGGTGATTTAGGTAAATAATTTATAATAAATAATAATGGAAAAGTTAGTAATTTTTAGGATTTTTTTTATTTAGAACTTGAATTTAAAAATTGGAACATTGTATTCAATAAAAGTAATGTTGTTGCCTCTTCGGGTTACAGCCTGTTTCTTAAAGGGTCGTAAATCAAAACTACTCGCTCGAGGCGACAAACTTGAAAAACTTGAAACAAAATTGTAAATTCTTTTCGATTAACGCTGCACCAGTTGAGAGGACTTTCAGTTATATTTATTTATTTGTTTTTTTTTTTTATCGCGGTGCAATAAATAATTCCTTTTTGAGAATTGCATCGGGCTGCAAATGTCGGACGTATCCTCCTGATTTTCATCTTCACAAACTAGCATTATGACAAGATCGTTGTTTAAACACCGTTGTTTTCCAAAGAATTCTTCATTCGCATTCTTTTTGGTGGTTTCAGAATTTGGAGAACCTGTTTTTTAGCCTTTTTCGATTTTAGCTTTTGTAATTCATTTTAAATCCTTTCTTCTGTGACTGGTTTGAAAAATGTGTGCGAGGTTCTAAATAGGTGGAAATGGCAAATAAATTGTTATTTTTTAGGAATAAAAAATTTAGAAGAAAATTCTGTTTTGAAAGTCGTGGCAGCCAGCCGAATTAGTTTAAAATCTTGTTATTTTGTTAAAAAGGCACGCCGTTTTTTACAATAATTTGATTTATTGGAATCACGGATGATGAAGGTCTCAGATCTTCTTAGTTCCCGGGTGACTTCTTGAAATGGTTAACCTGCTATGAGAAGCTTGTAATCAGTTTTTTTTATTAGCTGAGCTCGACTTTTCATAGTTGCAGGCAGTCACAATTTATTACTCACCGCTGTCGGTGCGAAAAGCCATCAAATCCGTTTTGTTGTTCATGCCATGCGCTCAATGTGCATCGATATTTTGAGACAAATGAACGAAAATTTTCAGCATGTCGTTAATATAGTATGAAAAGGCCGTAATTCACATTGTCACTTAAATGCAAAAAAGCCACAACTAACTAAAATTTTTTTATTGCATAAAACGATGTGGGACTTATGATTCGATGAAATGCATCATAATCAATCAAAAAGTGAATTTTGGGTTTTTAGTTATGTAGTTACGGCCTTTTGTATTTCAGCGACAATGTTTGTTACACCCCTTCCATACTATACTAACGATATATTGCACGCCAAGTCCCACTCCTCAATAGATACTAAATTCGCCTTGAATTGATTCTTGTTCGATTTGTGAACTTGGCCGTCAACTTTTTCACACTCAATTTTTTTTTAACCCGCTGCGTGCAAATTTTGACAATTACCACAAAATAAAATACATGTTTTTGTTTTCGGGCGCACAGAGGAGTATTTGCATAGTAAACCGGTCAAAATTATTTGGTGCATTTTTCTGCTAAGTAAAAAAGAAAACATGGAACTTAATCATAAATAATAAGCCGTTTTATGAAACAAAAATTAACACACTTATCTAAGAAAACGTAGAAACAAAACTAGCAATGCATCCAGTTTTTTCAACAGACCTTTGACAAATAATATTTGATAGTTACATAATTCTTACCTAATTAAAGGTTATCTTTTGCCGCGCAAATTGTCGATTCTCTTTATAGCTAGACGTTGAAAATTTCCGCTTGAAATACCTATTGAAAGATCTTACTCTTTGACTTTAAATTACAAAAGAAGGGGGACATAATGGGACAGTTTTAACGTAACATCTCCCCAGGCAAAAA